CAAACAGGGTATTGCACTTTCTCAACGTCATTACACCTTACAATTGCTTGAGGACTCTGGTTACTTGGCTTGTAAACCCACTGCTGTTCCCATGGATCCAAAACTCATATTGACTGCTACTGAAGGTGAAATGCTTTCTGATATTACACACTATAGACGGCTTGTTGGGAAACTTCTTTACCTCACTTTGTCTCACCCAGATATCACTTTTGTAGTTCACAAGCTCACTCAATTCTTGGCCCAACCTCGCCTTCCTCATCTTAAGGCGGTGCATCATCTACTTCGTTATCTCAAGAACAGTTTTGGCCAAGGGTTGCTGTTTTCATCTCATTCTTCCTTACAGCTTAAAGCATTCTCTGATGCTGATTGGGGATCATGTCCTGATTCTCGTCGCTCCGTTACAGGTTTTTGCATCTTTATTGGAGATTCTTTAGTCTCTTGGAAGGCCAAAAAGCATACCACCATCTCTCGATACTCAGCTTCATCATCAGCTGAAGCTGAGTATCGAGCTCTTTCCTCTACTGCCAATGAGCTCATCTGGTTGCAGCAACTTCTTTAAGATTTTCAAGTCACAGTTGCTTCTCCTGCTTTGCCATATTGTGACAATCAACCTGCGATACATATTGCCTCTAATCCAACCTTTCATGAACGCACTAAGCATATCGAAATAGATTGCCATTTTGTTCGTGAAAGAGTTGCTTCGGGAGTTCTTAAATTGTTGCCCATTCGTTCTCAATACCAATTGGCTGACCTGTTTACTAAACCCCTTCCCTCTACTCAGTTTTTTTCTTTGTTGTCCAAGATGGCTTTAAAAGACATTTACCAGCCACCTTGTGGGGGAGTATTAGGGTGTGTAAATATTGTAAATACTGATTAGTTGTTAATCTTCAGATTAGTTACAGATTAGTTAGTTAGTTAGTTTCACTAATTACATTTTATGTTATAACTAATCCATTGTAATAGTGACTATATATAGTCTGCTTCTATTTTATTCGACTACTAATAAAGAAAGCAGTTTATTCTTCATTCTCTCTCTTCTTCTCAGCTCATCTTCTTCTTCTTTATGAAGCTTAATAGATGTCCTCAATTACAACAACTCTTATAAGTACTCATTTTATTCAACCAAAAAACAAAAAACAAAAAAAAAAAAAAAAAAAACAAAACAAAACAAAACTTTGAAAGCAACAATCTAACTTTACTGAGATGTTCCTAAGATGCATAGTTGTAGCCTTGGATTCTATAACAAAATGACGCTCAAGTGTAATTCAAATATCAAATTAATTAAGTTCATCACTTTGCTACATGACCAAACATAGATTCTGATATTGAAGAAGACAACCGACAATATATTGATTAATTCTATTTTGCAAAAAAGAGTCTGAGTTGGATTGTTTTAATTACCAAAGTAGATGAGTCTTCACCTTTGCCTGTTTTAAAGGAAGCAGGACAAGATCTGTCATCGTTATTGAATCCCTCAAGCTTCAAAAATCATAATTTTCACCACAAGCTAATCGAAATTGAAGGTAATGAATCGAGAAAAATACAATTGCAAGGACAATTAGATAATTAACATAGTTAACAATTTTCTTTAGTTGATATTCATGTTAAATAAAATTAAGATTTAATTTGATTTCAATTAGTAATCTAGGAGTTGCGAGTTTGATATATTGAATGAAAATAATATTAAACGTAGAACTAGTTTACTTAAATATGAGATTGGTTAATATGTCAGGTAATAATATGATGGTGTAAAATATAAGATATTAGTGTCATACTTAATAAAATATTATGAAAACCGATAATACAATTTGAAATGTGAGACTAGTAACATAACGTAAAAGAACTCAAAAAAATTAATAAAATAAAATAACTCGAGCTTAAATGTATGGGCCAATTCAAACGGAAAAAATACAAAACCTTGTGAGCAACAAACCAACTAATGCCGTTATACTCTTTAAACTATTTAAATACTTTACGGGTCAAATAAAATGACCAAAACATTAGGAGCTTTTGAAAGCTGACCTTTCATCCAATTTCTTGACTTTTATACCCTTGTCTCCTTTACATAATTACTTCAAAACCAAATAAGATGGTATTATCAGAGACTGTTGCAGTCATTTGTTATTTGACATTTTAAACAGGTTTTTAAGGTTGTATTTTTTATTTGAATACAAATAATAATAATAATAATAATAATTAACAAAAGCATAAATAAGAAAATATATATCTAATTTGTATTGAATATTGATGATTGTATTAATCAAGTTGTGTTAGAAATCAGGAGAATAATGATCAAGACCATTGGTCAAATTAGTAAGTGACATTTGTGTACTAAAAGATAAAATTTGATAAATAAATAGGACCAGACAAAGGTATATATTTAATTTCAAATGGTGAAATTAATATTCATATATATATATATATATATTTTAAACTTTTAGTGGGATATGGGGTGGCTATGGCGGCTCTAAGCCTAAGCATAAGTCCGCCATTGATGAAGACATAAAATATTTCTTTCATCAAATTATTTTTAAAATGGAATATGCTAAAAAAGATTAGGTATCTATCATTGTAATTTAAACTCTAAGCCTAAGCATAAGTCCTCGTCTTCCCATCCAAAACACTCCCCTTCTGCATTAACATGCCCAGCAACTACCCTATCATGCCCCAAACCCTCCTCCCCTGTATAAGCCATGGAACACCCTCTCAGTGTCGTAGAATCATTCTCCTAAAACACCCAACTCTCCCCCACAACAATACCTCAACCACCACAACCAGGAAGCTGCTTACCGCAACCATACTCGCACAAATTAAAAATACCATTCGGGCTTTTCATCAAACACCTTCTATGCTTTTTTAAACTCTCCTCTTGCAACAACTTTCAACCTTTCTTATACCCACGTAACATCATTACCAAATAAAAAAACAGGGAACAACCATTGCAGACACAAAGAAAAAAAAAAGTGAGCAAAAGTGATTGCTGCATCGTTTTTTCCCATTAAGAATTTCGACAGTAAGTTTACCAACTCTTTCAGCTCCCTTTTTGTATGTGTGCACTTGCCACGGCCGCAGATATATGAAAATTTCCCACATTTTGCTGTTAACTAAAGCTTGTTGATATTTAGAAATTAGTACAAATCCAAATATCAGAGGACCCACATGATTTAATCTGTGAAATTAATTCAATCAGAAACTTGAATGTATGTTTAACTATAAAATTTATTAGCGATTTACTCTTTTGCCCCTGTTTTATTAAAACGAACATAAAAAATATTAACGTTCACCTAACCATAGGGGGTTTTAAGTTAATATCAATACCAAGGTGGTTTATCTGGTTTAGGACAAATCTCGACAGGTTTAAAGTAAGAGTAAATGACATATTTTCACCCGAGTTTTAGCAAAATCCCAAGTTGATATCCCTAATTGTATTTATTCTAAATTCTCACCCTTAAACTAACACCTTTAGTGAATGATAGAGGTAGTTAGAAATGGTAAGTGAAGTCTATAAGTGAATGTATGAGTTTTATAGAGGAGGTTGTGGAGAGTCCAATGGTAGTCTTGGAAGTGATTTTAGACTTCGAAATCGGCCGAAAAAAGCTGAAAACCATCAGTTTGGACACTATTAACATGAGTCGTTTTTTTTGCTAAAATGAGTCTATCTTCTGCCAAAAAGAGCGCTAGCAGAATTTAGCATGCTAACATGTGTCATGCTACAATGAAAAGTTGGGAACCTATTAAAATAAAAGAAACAACATTACCTTAAGGTGGAAATCTGTAAAAAAAGAACCTACAACTCTTGTGTTTTTTGGGTGAAAGTCAGTTTGGTGGACCATAGCTTATGTCTGTGATCAGTTTGCATACTGAAAGAAGATATTGATAAATGAAGATGCACAATGCTACACTATTCTGTTTGCGGGAAAATGATGGTAAAAGTGCAACAAATCCCAATTTAGTTTGAGGGAAGATAGTAGCAAGAAAAATATAATAATCTTTCCTGATTTAGTTTGAGGGAAGATGTTAAGCATTGTTAGAAGTCTGTTTAAGGTTATGTTAGTTTGTTAAAGAAATGGTTACTGCTGTTAGGTGTTAGTTACTGTTCAGCTTAAAGCAGCCTATAAAAGGTGTCATTGTAGCTTGTACTTGTTATCAGAAATACAACAGAATTTTTTCCAGAAAACTCTCTTCTTCTTCGTCATTTTCCTCTGTTTTTGCTCCTAACCTTACAAAAAGAAATACTGAGTGGATTCAAATGAAGTGTAAACTAGTACACTGCGAATTATGGATGATAAATCTTATTTTAAGGATAAGGGTCATCTGTACGCTCATCGCCCTGTGTATTTATGTACAAGTTAATTTAATGGTGGGTTAATTTGTACTCCTAATTTTTCTACATGAACTTACAATTCTTTTTGTCGAATGGTTGACCATTTTTTATATTTTTTAAAGGTTTAGACGAATGGTTGCCACTCAAGAAGGATTTGACAAATTAGAAGGGGGGGAGCCGTTGTCTTGGTAGGGCGTGCCACCCCACTTCAGCTCTGCATCCATAGGCTCGACTACATGCACTGCTCTGTCACTCATGTCACTCATGCCAAGAGCGATCTGATTAGGCTCGGATCGATGAGCTGCTATGACAAAAGCATAGGTGGGAGTGTTGCTGCTGCAGAATATATATTGTCAATGAGTGATGGATTTTACGGGCTTCCACATTATGATACAATGAAATATACAAAAAAATGCCTTGAAACATCTGAACTGGTTTATATAGAATAACTGAAGTATACATGTATGCAGCACCATCAATAAATCTTCCAAAAATGAGCTTAGAACAATAAGCCACGCACTAGGCCAAGGTTTATAACATACTATCCATAAAAAACCATTGAAGTAGGAAATTTTACTCTAACGAGTCACCGTGGAATTAGTACAATGATGATAATAGGCTATATAACTAAATCTTTTATGCAAACAACAATATGTGATTTGGCGTCTCATTGACCTTAATTATTGTGATGCTGTGCTTCCACAGTATTAGAAATACGATTATGGTCGGTAAGTTTACTTAAGAATGAGAGAACTGAAGAAAAACTACAACATGATGACATGGAAGCAAAACTTACTGAACGTGAACATTCAAGCTTGCTGTCATAAATGGAAGTTTGGCTATCATGAACCACCAAAAGATGTGTTTGATCATTATGAAACTGGACTTTAGTTTCTCCAACCAAAGGGGATTGACGGCCAGTTGGTGCTTGTATGAACCTTGATTTCAGCTTCTCCCATTTACCAGTACTCCACATACATAGCTGCATCAAATTAATTGAATATAAATAAATTATTAAGTAGCGGAAATCAAAAACCCAGAGATAACAAAGAAGAAAAAGCTTCAACTTGATTTTTGGGACCCTGATTGAAATTCAATAGCATTTAGAAGTGACTGGGGGAAGCCATGTTTGAAACTTGTAGTAAATTAGAGTATTTCCTCATTTGTATGATTGACTATTCTTTTCAGTGTAGTAAGGGATTAGCTACGCTGGAAGTAGAATATTTTCTATTCTTGTTTTCACTTGTAAATCCTATATAACTTTTTTGAATTAAGATTGCTAAGGGATTTGAACTCAAATTACTTGGCTCACTTAGCATGATATCATGTATTCATGTTGAGTAACCACTTGATCCAAAAACCATATCAAAAGCTTCAGCTTATAGCCAAGAGCTCAATAATGGTATTCAAGCTATGACACTACCCAAATAACCAGATTCATGTTCAAAAATAATTCTAAAAGAGCATTTCCATGGAAAGATCTTCACATTAGAGATCCCCTCAAAACAATTCAATTCTTCGACTTCACCTATTCAAACGACAGTTTATATTTGAGCACTTGTCAACACCTATTGCTGAGAAGGTAACATCCAAGAAGACTATATTTACATTGTAATTCAACTATGTTTTGAAATTTTACCAAAGAAAAGGCTCATGTATGCAGGCATTGGTTACACTAAATGGCTTAAGATCAATCTCAAATTGTAATTTCGATTTCATATAAAGTAATTTGCTCCCCAGATAAGCAAAAGTTCATAGAGCAAACCCTTAATGGTCCAAATGTTCTAGGTTTCTTACTCTTGGCAAAAAAAATTATAGCATCCCAATTAAACATTATTAAGAACAACTAATAGCCATAAACATTAACATATTAAATTTTATATTAGTCAGGCACTAACCTGAGCATCAGCCCCTGAAGACACCAATGCATTTAAAGTTTGGGAAAATGCAAGCCCTTTGATTTGATTTTCGTGACCCTTAAGTTTGGTTTTGACCTGCCAACAACATCCAACATTAGTTATGCTTCCTCATTATATGTCACACAATAAGCTTTAGATAATCAAGAGAGCTATTGATTAAATTATTAAAATAGCTATACTTAAGTTTTTTCTATTGTGATGGACTCATGTTCGCCTTTTTGTACTTTTGTTGCATCTGTGTTTGTTCAGGAAGATGATGTGTTTAATTTTTAGAAAAAAAAATGATTTCAATAGTCCTTATGGAATTATACTAACCATCAATTCCTTAAAACAAGAAGGTAACAATAAGACTTTCCCTCCAATGAACTCTGCTAAGAAGCATAAATCAGACTGTATGGAATAGGTAATGATTCAACCAAACCAGAATCAAATTTACATTAACAATCTCAAAATATCATCATAATCAACTATAAATTAACACTAGCTATAAATGGAGCAAAAGTCAGTTGAACATATCCTTTGACCAGGTATACATAAAACTAGCTTCAGAAATTAAGTAAAGAAAACAACAGATCAAGTGAGAAACTTCACCTCATCAACTCTGATATTGTATATCTGAATGGTAGAATCCTCCATCCCAATGGCAATAATATTATTATCTTGAGGATGGAATGCCAAATAGGTAGCTGCCGGAGGTGGGGGCATAAACATCGTCATGACCTAAGACATAGTAAGCAATCTTATTCAGTCATGTGGAATCTCAAAATATTGCAAAAGCATTATCTCAAGCAAATATTGTTGAACATTTATGAAATACAGACTTCAAATTTGGAGAGGTGCAATAACTTACCTTGAATGTCATCATGTTGAATAAGGAAACTTTTCCACCAGAGGTAGACATAACGTAAGAATCATTTTTGGATAAAACGATGCATGCAGCAGACATCTTCAACTGGTTTATTATCATTTATGTCATTGGTCATAAGTGTTCCACTGGGAGGTTGCCACATTGCAGCACTACGTATGCAGTAGCCTGGCGAGTTTGCAACTGACATTAAAAAGGTCAAAGTATAAAAACAAAAGAAATTTACAAATGGAAAGCAATAAACCTGCCCTGAGGGATTCCTTTCACTACGTTGCCATTTCCAAAGCTTGTGAACAGTGCTGGCGGTAAGGGCCAATAGAGCTAGACCAGAGTTGGTGTATCCCAGGCCTAAATGCAGGGGAAATTACCAATGTATTTCACATCATTTATGCCTAATGTTTTATTTGGCTATTTATACATTGATTGGTATTAAGCTTTTGATGAATTTGATATTGTTTCTTCTTCTGTGTCTATTTGTAAGAAGTCATGTAGTTTAAATTTATTTCGCCAGTCCTCTCCTACTTTGTTAATCCATGAAACAAGCACTGCCATGCAGAGAGGGTGCATTATGCCCTAACTTCACAACTGAGGTGGCATTACCATGTGAATTGGCAGTCACATACCATCATCCTCAGAGGCATGTCAGGATATTCAAAAAAAGAAAGGAAAAATTCAAAAGAAAGGTTAGCACATCAGATGAGCAGGTTTAAACTGGCATTCCAGCATTTGACTTAACATTCCAGAGTTCCTGGCATTATGCATCTAATTCTTTAGAATATACGGTTGGTATATTAATGAAAAATATAGTTCATATGATTTGCATAGCTTTATAATAGTAAAATATTTCATATATGAGCATAGGCACACAAAGGGCAGTAAATAACCACAAAGAAAATATCCAGTACTATAGAAGCAGAGGGGTTTCTTCCTAACTAAAATAAAATGCAAATACTTGAATTCTTTACCACTTACCATGCTTGGTGCTATAGAATCAGGTACGCACAGAGCTTTCACTTGTGTGCCAATCCCCAGAACCCCCTCCCAAAGGCTAATGTCACCAACATTTGTCCCCACTACAGTCCAAAGAACAGAAATTTCAATCAATAATAAATAATCTCTGGAAAAAGTTTTATAAATTTTTCAGTGACCAGTCATTAAACAGTGGTTTTTTTTTCTAATTTTATACCAAGAAGAATATCTTGCTGCTGTGGATGGAAGTCCATGCTCATGACATTAGATCCTTGATTAAGGGTTCGCACAACAGCTTTAGTAAGGTTATCTTGAGAATATACATTGGTAGTATGTGCTACACCAGCAAAAGACACCTAGAAAACCAAAAGATAATAAGAGGTGAGAAAGGAACAAGAGAATTGTTACAACCAGCAGATATAAGAGCCATTTAGAAATTTATAGCAGCTATCAAGCTTGAAAAAACAATAGATTATGTCACTCATCCAGACAGCATCAGACTGGCCAGTGCAGATACGCTTCATCAAATGCATTGAATACTCTGATTGACAATCCATCCCATTCATACCTGTAGGCGTCCTTGGATGTTTCAAGAATGCAGCTATAGACATCCCAATATAAATAAATAATAAAAGACTAGAGTAATTCAACCTAATATATTAAGCCTAAAGAGGGAGAAAAACAATGCAAACTACACAATTACAAACGTCCTTACCTGCACTAGAAGACTGCACAAGATGGGGGGCCCTGCTGCCACAGCAGGGTGAGGTAAGGAAGGACTATTGTTTGACATCCAACCAGCAATAGCACCTGGAGATGGGGAAACAACACTCTGAAATGGCTGCACAGTAAGAATCATTACAATTATTATTTGAGTATGCAACCAATGTTTTATATGGCAGATGGATGCAAAATACTCACACCATGAGCACCAATAGGCGAAATGCACCAGCCTTAGGAATTGGTCCCACAAGCCGGGCTGTTTGTAGGAGAAGGACTAGCTCCATTAGCCATAGGGTTGCAACAATGATCAGTGAAGAGTGTTCTAATATCAGGGTTTGGACAAGGATTCTTGCAATGTTGATGCTGCCAATTTAAACTCATTTTTTTTTTTTTTTTAAAGTGAGTTCTAGAAAATAAGTCTATCAAGAGGAGGTTATATCATCTGCAAGTGTAAATGATATCAATCACCTTACAAATATAAGAGCAAAAGCGCAAACCCAAAGTAGAAATCAACTAATATATAATATACCAATACAAATAAATATTTGTAAAATGCATTCTGTAGGTTTTGCTTTTACCAAAAAACCTCGCTGCAGCAAACCTCGGGTTTATTAATGTCCTCAGTTGTGAACTGTTGAAGGCTAGGAATGTAAGCCTGTCACAAAACAGGGGGTTTGCTTCAATTAACTTATTAAGTTCTACAAGCATAATATTACAAACCGATTTTGTGTCTCCATACTTGGAAAGCTGTTCATTTTGCTGGATCACGAAGTGCCAGCAGAAAAAATCAACCAAAAATTTTCATGGCATACCATACCAATTAAAAAGAATGGTGGAGTAGTCACCTAAATCAACTAAAGTTATCAAGTGTAAGAAGCTGGGTAAATCTCCTTGAAATGTTCTTAATTGAAGGATGCAAAAACCTTAAGGTCCTAGTCAAGAATCTCAATAGCCTTTGCTCGATCCTTCCTGATAACATGAAGGAAAAAAATGGAACATTATTATGCATATATGGGTTAAAACTCTACATATGAAAACAAAACTACTTCCTTCTTAATGAATGGCAATACCATTAATTTTTAATATGTCCTGATGATCACTTCAATGGGTTTAGTATATTGGCATAATGAATCAGAAGTCTATTACTTTCCCTTTAAATATACTCTTCAAACCATAGAGCTAATAAATTGCTTTGGGTAAACAATTCCTATGGCTACAGAGTAAACAAAATCTTACAAAAGGCTCCATGAACATTCATCGTCTTCATATTAAAATACCTAGAATAAACCAGTATAGGAAACGTCATTGAAGGATTAGCTTCATCATTTCATGTGCCCAAAGGAAAAAAAATTCAGCACAATACCAGGTTATGGGAGGTGGTGACATCATCTGAGGCCAAGATCTGGCTTGACAATGTGTGGCCATGCCGCACGGCTGAGGCGAAAATCCGACCAAACCGCGCAGCTCAAGCAAAGATTCGGCTGGACCTTGAGTAGCCAAGCCGTTGACCGGTTTGCCGCCCCCAAATAAGGCCTTCGCAGCCGGATATTTGAGTTTATTTGTTTTACACTAACTTTAGAATTAAATAAATTAATAAATATTAAGAAAATATTTTTAATAATCTTTTATTTTTCAAGAAAATAATAATAGTATATGTGAAAGAGAAATGCTATAGTTGCATAGTCAACTTATTATATATATTCTTTTGATTTATGTTTAAAAAGAAATGCCAACTCATCTAAATGTCATACACTTACCATATGATTGCTGTGTGTTGATGAATATTATAGTTTCCTATCTAACTAAAACTCTGGATCTTCTCCTTCGAATCTTTCACAGAAATCTGAACAATCTGTAATCATAAAGAAGAACAAATTAATATTAGAAGCAAAAACTGTGTAGAATGTTATTTTAAGCTCTAAATTTATAAATAATTTATCAATTAAACAAGAAAATGAGAAATTTCCTCAACGATTACTTCAAAAACATGTATAAATTAACTTTAAAGAAACATAAATTGTAATATTATAGCTTCTCTATATATACTTGATAATTTATAATTGATTCACTTAGAGGATTTTAATTAAAGACAAAATCAATAATAAAGATTATTGAGCATAACTAGTATTAATTCAATGAATGAAAACGAAGAAGTCTATGGAAAAAGTAAATTGTTAAGTAAATGAATACTTACCATTTTGTAATTGTTGTACGGTTGTATCGATGTCACTCTCCGAACAATATTTAAAGTTCAAGATCTTTAACCTTGGCATGCTTAAGCCTCCTCTAGAGAAAGTCTTCATCTTGGAGCATCCACTCACATATAAACGTTCCAAGAATGGAAATTTTAAGGTGTAATTCCCAAAACAGAAACATGTGAGACTTTCTGAATTATATAAGTACAACGCCTTCAATTTCTCAAAAACAATTTCATCTTTCTCTACATCTCCCTCATTTGCTACTACTTCCATGATCATTTCACAATGAGTTATACTCAACAGTTCTAGTAGCACCAGACTTTTGGCTGTTGAGGATGACATTAAATTTTGCATCTCATTGCAATAGCTTACGTTCAAAATCTTCAGATTTTCAAAAGATGCTAAAGATGGCAACAGAGTAGTCAATTTGTGACAATATTTCACCTCCAGTCTATCAAGATTTTGAAGAATTGAGTTTAATCGAGAGTCTTGTTTCCAAATGCACTTTAAATCTAAAAGTCCAAACAATTCTAAATGTTTTAATTTTGTGAGTGTTCCAATGTGTTCCTTATCCTCTTCAAATGAGAATATCTCTTCATATGAACTCACTTTCAGTAAGAGTTTTTCAAGACTGTTCAATTTATGAAGGATTTGAATTGGAATATTTGCATATGCATCATTAATCAATTCAAGAGTTTTTACTTTGCCAAAGCTCTCTTGAAATTCTCCTTCCCAAATCGACATGATGTCCCTTCCATTTAATGTCAATTCCTCCAAATTGAAGTCAACCTAAAGAAAAATCAAAATCATGTCAATCAAATTAAAATTAATGTTTCCCTTAAAAACATATAATAATTATATATATATATAAGCAAAAAAAGATATTCATTTAACCTTTTTTTTTTCCTTTACAATTACCATGTAATTAGTCCAATTACTTTATCGGGCCACCTATAACCCTTGAATCAGAATAAAAAAAGTTAACCTGAGGGCTGAAATTGATACCTCTAATTAATGTTGATTTGTAAAATATGATAGTTAAAAACAAGAACATGACACACGGAATTAGCCCAGCCACTGGAACAAATTGACTTTTTGACGAGCCTTATGCTAGGACAAACCTAGTGTTGCATAACACTAGATTAAAGCTTCCAATGCTGAAAGGAAATATGTGAATTTTATTCTAACGCAAAATTTGCATTACAATACTTATACACAAACTAACTTTAAAAAAAAACAGTTTATTATAATTAACGCTAAAAACATAATATTATTATAAAATAAATATTTAAACTAATTAATGGAATACATGTACCTCTTTTTTGTGTACTTGTTGAATGGTTCTATTAAGCTCATTCCCTTCAATCTCTACTTTCCTTATTATCTCCCCATAATCTTCATACATATCCAAGCCCATATAATTAACTATACCACTAATCTCTACTTTCCTTATTATCTCCCCATAATCTTCATACATATCCAAGCCCATATAATTAACTTTGTATAACATTGGTATGCTTAAAATTCCTTGAGAGAAAGTCTTCATATTGGGACTATCTCCTATATTTAGCTCTTCCAAAGATGGGAAATTGAAAGAGTAATTCCCAGAACAAAAGCATGTAAGACTTTCTAACCCTAAAAGTGACAACTTCTTCAAATTATCAAAAACAATTTCAATACTCGATGTTGCATCTCCTTCTCCATCATTTTTAACTATTTCAATCAACATTCCACAATTCTCTACTCTCATTGCTCTCAATTGCATCAAGTTTCTAGCTGTTGAAGGTGTTATTACCTTCATCAAGTTTCCACATCCATGTACACATAAAACTTCAAGATTTGGAAAGAATAGCTCTTTGTATTGATCACATCCATATAGTCCAAGCTTTTTCAGATTTTCAAATCTTTGAAGGAGTCCAAGTGGAATATTTGTTAAGTTATTATCACATGAGATCTTAAGAGCTTTAGATTGACTCTGCCATATAATCTTTTTCCAGCCAATTGTTATATCAAACACCTCCAAATCATGGTTGATCTACAAATCCATCATAAAACAAAATCCAATTAGCTTTATAATTATATACTTAAAATAAAAGTTTAGTTATTGGTTCAAAAGTCATAGGCCGAACCCAATCAAATTTTGACAAATCAACTACAATCTATTTTAAAACTAGTAAATTATATTTTATTAATATTTAAAATTAAAAATCAACATTAAAAATTGCATTCAAAAACTATTTTTGTAAACTACAGATTGAACATACTTTTTTGTTTTTGTTTAAAATAGAAAATAGAAACATGCTTTTCAAATGAATTTTATTTTTATTTAAATGAATTTAGATTTTTCTTCAAAGGGCTACCGTGAATCAAATTTGGTAGCAAATGTTTCATTTATGTGATTTTACCAATTACACCCCTTGAAACCAAAAAGCTACTCAGGCGCCACTAACTTGGAAAACTACAGTATACATCTCCTCTTATTGTCTATTAAATTTATGTACAGTCACAGTCACCCCAAATCTCCTTGACATTATATCATTTTAAAGATTTGCTTCTTCTCTTATGTTGGTTGGATTCTTTTAGATTTTGGGCTTGTTAGTTGGGCCTGAGAACTAACGTAATTTTCTCTCTCTTACATATGATTTGCTTCTTCTCTTATGTTGGCCGGACTCTTTTACATTATCTCCCTCTTAAATTTAATGGTAACTAATGTAATTTTGTCCTCTTTGAACTAATTTTTTGCTTATCTTGTTAAATAATTTTGAATTTGTGATATAGTTTCCAATCATAAGAAGGATCACTGTGAGAGGGATAATGTTTTAAGAAACTATAAGAAAAAGAAGACAAGCTCCAAAATAGTTTTAAGAAGGGACAAAATGTTATTAGAGATAGTTAGATTTAACATTTTGTAAGGGTATAATTTTATACAACTTTAAAATATTTTTAGTTGGAAAGTAAATTTATATAAACTAATAATAATTAAAAGATTTATTATTTTTATAATAATAAAAAAATATAAAAAAAAAAAATTTTATAAAAAAAAAAAAAAAGTAAATTAAGCAAGGGCCTTGGCTAGCCCCGCACCACTTGCAAGCCAGGCATGTTGTGAGAGGAGGGATTTGGCAGCTGCAGATTGTGAGTACAATGACTTTGGTTTTGGGGAAGTACCAATGATAATATCTATATCTTCTCCAATACAAACTAAAAATATTAATAACAAAAGATTGTCTTCCAATTGATAATATCCAAAAATAAAATCATATTGATAATTTCTAGTAAATATTTGATAATTTCTAGAATTATATTGGATGATTTAAACATAGTGCTTTAACAAGTTTAATTGACAAGACTCCAGTAACAAAATTGTCAAAATCCAATTGACCATTAATTTTTATTTATTTTTTTCTAAATTTTTGTTAAAAAAAAAAAAAAAGATGTTAAAAATTACATTATTAAGTTCTAATTTATGTAATATATATAAAATGAAGGTTTTTTTTTTCTTTTTTAATAAAGAAGTAAACAAGAGACTTGTACCTTATGCTCCAAGCAGAGGGATTTTGGCTCTGGGATATGAAATGAATTTTCTTGGAAGCTTAGATATTTTGAAGTGAATTTTTCACATTCTTTGATCACCAACCTTTCTAACATTGGCAATTCACAAGTATGTATTCCAGGATAGAAAGCTGTAAGTTTTGGCAATTTCTCAAGCTGCAAATAGGTAACCTGCGGAAAGGCAAAATTAACAACAACTTTTGCTCCTTCTTCTTCCGCAACAATCTCCTCTAAAACCTCACAATCCATTATTTCAAGGCGTTGTAGAGTCTGGAGGCTTCTAGCTGTTGAAGGTGTTATTAACTTCATCAACTCATGGCAATTGTCGACTCTCAAAACTTTAAGATTCTGAAAAGAAGTTGAGGATGACGCTAGATACATCAATTTGCTACAGCCCTGTACATTTAGAACTTCAAGATTTGGAAGATTTGGAAAGAATAGCTCTTCGTATTGATCACATCCAAATAGTTTGAGCTTATTCATATTTTCAAATCTTTGAAAGAGTTGGAGTGGATTATTTGCTAACTCATCACCTTCGATCGTAAGAGCTTTAGATTGACTTTGCCATGTAATCCTTTTCCCACCATTCCTTAATTCAAGTACCTCCAAATCGTGATTAATCTACAGATCCATAAAAAACAAACTCCAATTAGCTTTTCAATTATATACTTAAAACAAAAGTTTAGTTACTGGCTCAAAAGTCATAGGCCAAACCCAAAAGTTTAGCTCTTTTTTAAGTTTTTCTAGTTTTATCTTCTATTTTTGAAATATTCTTGTTTAATCTTTCCTTTTGGTATGAAATGTCAATTTTATCTTTTTTAACATCCAAAACCGGCCCATCCTAACTATAAGTTGGACTTTGGACATTTATTTTCTCTATTAGTTTTATAATAATTAAAAAATACAAAAAACCAAGAGAAAACTAAAAAAACAATAATAAATTACCCACAGGCCTTGGCAATTAATAATTAATAGTTAATTTGGATGATGAAATATTAAAGATAGGTTCCCAATTAATAAATTATTGTATAAGAAATTAATAATTAAATAAAATTAGTTAATATACTGTTGAAATGTTTTCAAATTTAATTCCAAACTCACTTACAAAATTTTAAAATAGATTTGAAACATCATATTGTAGTTGAATTTTAATATTATAAATACGACAATACCATGAATTGCATTATAATATAATAGAAATAAATTTTAAATATGGAACCATTGAAATTGGTTTAAATTAACTATGAGAAGAACAAAGGGTAATTGCGTATGATTCTTTAATTTACTAGTCAAATTAATTTCATAAAAGACGCTACTAACCTATGAAAACTAAACATGTTTTAAAAGCTAGCCTGTTTTTGGTGTGTATAGTAAAAAGGTGTCCATTTTTGTCATTCTCCCTCTTAAATTTAATGGTAACTAACTTAGTTTTGTCCTTTTTGAACTGATTTTTTGCTCATTAGCTACCAAATCATGTTAAATAATTTTGAATTTGTGATCTGGTTTCTAATCATAAGAAGGATCACTTGTTAGGCACAATTTCTAGTAAAAATAAAGGGACTGCTATCAATTGAGGGATAATGTTTTACAAACTATAAGAAAAAGAAAACAAGTTCCAAAATAGTTTTAAAAAGGGATAAAATGTTATTAAAGATAGTTAGATTTAACATTTTATAAGGGTATAATTTTATACAACTTTAAAATATTTTTAGTTGAAAAGTAAATTTATATAGCATAATAATAATTAAAAGATTTATTATTTTATAATTTAAAAAAAAAATTAAACAGGGGCCTTGGCCAGCCGCGCACCACTTGCAAGGCTAACAATGTTGTGAGAGGAGGGATTTGGCAGCTGCAAATTGTGAGTAGAATGACTTTGGTTTTGGGGGAGTACCAGTTGATAATATCTATATTTTTCTCCAACACAAATTTAAAATATTAATAACAAAAGGTTGTTTTCAATTGATAATGTTATGCCTGGAAACCGAGGGCTGACGTGGGGTCACGTGAGGAAGAGAAACGACCTGCAACTATCAGAATGGTGGGTGGATGACAGGCCCGTCAGGTGCTGTGAGGAACCCACGTGTCCATTTCCTGCTCCAAATCACGCAAAATCGGGGTTGGAAGGTGAGCTAAATGACATAAAGGATTATTTACCCTGACATTCACACCAACCGACGGATTTCATGATGATTGCCCATGCTCATCCCCCTATAAAAAGGAGAAGACTTTCCCTTTGAGGGGATTCGCTCATTTGGGGATTGAAAACAGCTTATTCTCTCTTGTATTCCTTATTATTCACTTGCAGCAAGTCATAAGTCACTTTGTAAGTCAGTTCGTTACAACGACCTGGCCCACCACATTAATATAAAACCAGTGGACGTAGGACTTACTACCTTAGCATCCGAACCATTTAAAAAGTTTTCCATTGCATTTACTATTTTTCTCTTAATATTCACGTGTGCCTCTTGTCCATTCAACGTTACACACGTGTCGATTAGTTGGTGTCAAAATCGCGCATCAACAGTTTGGCGCTAGAAGGAGGGCCGATTCAGTGTTCATCCTTCATCGGGAAAATCTCTAACCTATCGGTCCTACAGCAACAAATGGCCCGCCAACCTGAGCCTGAGCAAGCTATTCGGGACGTTGAGGGAGTCCCCCTGAACCAGGGGGATACCTCTTCCAGGATACTTTTAGCCCTGCAAAACGCTGTGGTGGATATCGCAGCAACTTCACAGCTTGACCCCGCCATCAGAAGCTACCTGGAGAGGTTCGACAATACTCTCTAGACGGTCAACCAAAGGTTGGACCGTTTGGACCAAGGCGTGCCATCTAGAACAGTTGGGGGAGTGCAACCCCCAAAAACGCCTGCAGGTCGCGCGAAAGTGCGACAAAGGGAAATAGCCCGTGCTGCAAGCACTGCAGCGCGCAGACGCAAGGGTAAGCAAGTGGTGAAAAGCAAGCCTACGGGCTCCAAAGGGCCAGCGAACACGAACCGCGCCCGGAATAGGGTGCTAGCAAAGCTGAGACTCGGTGAAAAAGTAAATCCCGAGCTGTCCCATGCCACGTCGCAAGTGAACCCGAGCAAAAATGCTAAGCGAGGCGATTCTCGTCACCACCATCAGAATACCCCTGATCGTCATCACACGGGAGGTTCCCACACCTCACGGGGCGGTTCGTACCACCGCAAGGGTCGTGAAAATACCTTGCACCATCCGTCGCCTTCGCATGTGTCTAGCCAGCGTGTGTCAAGAGCGGCTGGCAATGCCGGTTGAGGCGAGGAGTCCGACCTCCGGACTTTCTTGAACCGCAATCGCGAGGGGTGAACTCGCGTGGGTGAGAGCAATCCCCAACCGGCTCCATTACCACAGATTGAGGAACTGTAACGGGCCCTAGACAGACTGAGAGAGCAGCAAAATGAGCAAAGACGGGTCGCATCTGCTTCCCCCTTCTCTCCCGAAGTGTTAGCTGCCCCACTCCCACACGGATTCAGGATGCCCGATATGCGGCCGTTCGATAGGAACCATGACCCGCAGGATCATCTGTATGAATTCAACGACCTGATGGAGCTCTACAAGGTCCCTGATCTTACTAAATGCTGCTGTTTGGCCGTGACATTAACTTCCCATGCCGAACGGTGGCTAAGGTCGCTCCCGGCAGGATCGATCAGTTCGTGGCCCCAGATGAGCGCGACATTCCTGCGGCATTTCCAAGCAAATCGAAAGTTTTCAATGCCTTTGAACTACCTCAACAACATAAGGCAAGAAAGGGATGAATCCCTACAATCCTACATTGATCGTTTCCACAAGGAACTCAACAAGGTGGCTCATGCTCCCGAAGAGTCCATCCGAACACTCATAATAGGGGGAGTTCGCCCACAAACCGACCTGTGGAAGGAATTACAAGGTGAGGACGATGTTTCCCTCACCAGATTTTACAACCTTGCGGAAAAGTACCTTCGAATAGAAAGTTCATTGGCGGCACTCCGCCGCCGCGACCAGAGTATTCTAGGTGGTATGTCTGGTCGCGGGGAAAGCAGAAGGCCTGATCGCATAGGGGCCGTTGAAGATCAACGAAAAGGAAAGAAACCGAGGTACGAGTCCAGAAAATCCTATGCTCCCGTTCCTCGTCGCGATCGCAATAGGAACCAATATACTCCACTGAATGCCTGTGTATCAGCTATTCTTGATAAGTCCGAAGAAGCTTGTCTGCTCGGGGAGCCCAAGCCCATGAAAACTCCTACGACAACCAGAAATAATAAAAAGTACTGTCGCTACCACAAGGATAACGGACACCATACCGATGAGTGCCGGGCACTGAAACCAGCAATCGAGGAATTCATCAAGAAGGGGCATTTCAAGGAGTATATAGACGACTCTGTTCCCTCGCAAGAGAAAGATCGGGGGGAGCCGAGTAAGAAGCGCCGTGATCGAAAAGGTGTGTGCAGCCTCAACTTGATTTTTGGAAGACCACACTTCGCTGGGAACTCGCGAGGTGCTCAAGAAAGGTATGCTCGCGAGGCACATCACGACCCCATTAGAGTGATGAGTGCAGAACAGCGACCACGAAAAGTTCGCAAGGAGGTGGAAATCTCCTTCTCCAAACAGGATGCGGCCACGCTGCATCATCCCCACGACGACGCACTTGTAATCACGCCCCTGATAGGGCGCTATAACACCCAAAGAATGCTAGTGGATAACGGGAGTGCTGTGAATATCCTGTTCGCATCCACCTTCGAGAGGATGAGTCTGGACGAAGCTAACCTGAAGCTTGCCTCGTTTCCATTGTATGGGTTCACAGGGGACCACCTGCTCCCCAAAGGTACAATATCCCTCCCGGTCACGCTGGGCGATTACGACGAAGTGACTAAGGTAACCGAGTTCCTAGTAGTAGATTGCCCTTCAGCCTTTAATGGGATCCTAGGGCGACCCCTGCTAAGACAGTTCAAGGTGGTCACTTCGATCTATCACTTGAAAATAAAGTTCCCCACCCCAACGGGGATCTGGGAAGTCAATGGGTCTCAACGAGCCTGGCGCGATTGTTATGTGAAAGCAGTCCAGATGGCATGCAAGGGAAAGGGTGTTAAGCGAGGGAATCACGGACAGGCAATGGCGATCAGTCAAATCGAACCACGACCTGGTCCGGTCGAAGACAATATAGACCCTCGTATCCAAGATGGCCTTTGCAGTGGGCCAGTTGAGGACCTGATGGAGATACCTGTCGACTAGAACAAGCCGAGCAGGGTTCTGAAGGTCGGTAAAAATCTAAATTCTCAGCTCGCTAACGAACTGATCAGTTTTCTTAGGGGAAACATAGATGTGTTCGCGTGGTCGCACGCAGATATGGTTGGGATCAGCCCGAATGTAATTTTCCATGCGCTGAACATCAACTGTGAAGCCAAACCAGTCCGCCAGAAGCGAAGAGCGATGGATCCAGAGTGATACACCGCCCTGAAACTAGAGGTGGATAATCTCCTGCACAACAGATCCATCCGAGAGGCACTCTACCCGACCTGGGTTGCGAACCCGGTTCTGGTAAAGAAACCCAACGACAAGTGGCGGACCTGCGTCAACTTCAGCGACCTTAACAAAGCCTATCCAAAAGACAGCTTTCCCCTGCCAAGAATTGACCAGCTCGTGGATGCCACCTCGGGGCACGAGCTGCTCAGTTTCATGGATGCATACTCGGGGTATAACCAAATCCCGATGTACACACCGGACGAAGAGCACACATCTTTTATCACAGATCGTGGACTGTACTGCTATAAGGTCATGCCCGTCGGCCTCAAAAATGCTGGTGCGACCTACCAACGGCTGGTTAATCAGATGTTCTCCTACCAGATCAGCAAGTCAATGGAGGTCTACGTAGATGATATGTTGGTGAAATCCCATGTCGCTTCTGATCACGTAGCTCATCTCGTAGAGATGTTTGAAATCCTCCGGCTATACAGGAGAAACTGAACCCGCTCAAGTGTTCGTTCGGGGTATCCTCGGGTAAGTTTCTGGGGTACATGGTTAACCAGCGTGGAATAGAAGTCAACCCCGAGAAAATTCAGGCTCTGCTCGATATGAAAAGCTCGACCAGCAAAAAACAGGTCATGAGCCTTAACGGGCGAATAGCGGCACTTAGTCGCTTCATATCAAGGCTAATGGATCGCTGCTTGCCATTTTTCAATGTTCTAAAGGCCAACAAAAAATTCGAATGGACTCCCGAATGTGAACAAGCGTTCCAAAACATAAAAGAACATCTCGGAAAGCCACCTCTTCTCTCCAAGCCTCTCCCACGTGAGATTTTGCCCCTGTACCTGTCCGTTTCTCGGTTCGCGGTCAGTGCAGCACTGCTTCGGGAAGAGGAAAGAGTTCAATGGCCTGTGTACTACGCGAGCAAGCGCTTGTCGAACGCTGAAACGCGATATCCAGAAATGGAACAATTAGCCTATGCCCTGCTGATCGCTTCCAGAAAGCTACGACCTTACTTCCACGCCCATACGATCCACGTAATGACTAATTACCCCCTCAGGTAGGTCCTCCAGAAGCCAGAACCCTCAGGTAAATTGTTCAAATGGGCCATGGAATTAAGCCAGTTCGACCTGAAGTATAAGCCCAGGTCGGCCATCAAAGGGCAAGCTGTTGCTGACTTCATTTCAGAATTCTCCTATCTCCCAAATGATCCAGAACAACAGTCCAGTGAAGCCATCCAAGAGACTCTTCAGAACCTGGCAACCTGGAGCCTCTATGTCAACGGATCATCGACCAGGAAGCGGGCAGGTGCAGGTCTCCTTCTCTTGAGTTCCGAAGGGGCTCACATTCACGGCATCCTGTGGTTCGGATTCAAGACGACCAACAATGAAGCTGAGTACGAAGCCTTACTCGCTAGATTGTGGTTGGCCAGAGATATGGGCGCAACCGCGATCAGCATCCACAGCGACTCAATGCTCGTCGTCAACCAAAATCCTAGGGGAATACCAAGCCCAGGAAGAAAACATGATCCGTTATCTGAAAGAAGCTAAGGCCGCGCTCAAGCCATTCAAACACTTCGCAATCACCCAGATCCCCAGAGATAGCAACTCTGTTGCGGATGCCTTGGTGAAGATAGCCTCATCGTTAGACTCAGAGGCACCCGATAACATTCCTGTTCGGATCATCGAAGCTTCGAGCATCAGTCCGACCGAACAGGCCGTAAATGTAACACAATCTGACTCATGGATGACTCCCATTATTCGGTATCTAAAGGATGGGATCTTGCCCGACGACAAGATTGAGGCTAGGGTCCTACGAACAAGATCCGCTCGGTATTCCCTCATCGGGGACCAGTTGTATAGATGGGGATTCAGTGCCCCTCTCCTCCGATGTGTGACTGGTGAAGAGGCGGATTATATCATAAGGGAAATCCATGAAGGGATCTGCGGTAATCACACCGTCGCACGATCCCTCGCGAACAAAGTTGTTCGCCAAGGGTATTATTGGCCTCGGATTCAAGAGGATACCCACAATTTTGTTAAAAAGTGTGACAAGTGTCAGCGGTTCGCGAACATTCCGCGAGCCCCCTCTCACGAACTGATAACAATGACTAGACCCTGGCCCTTTTCCATGTGGGGGATCAACCTTATCAGTCCCATGTCGGTTGGAAAAGGGGGAGTCAAGTATGTTGTGGTTGCGGTAGACTATTTCACAAAATGGGTAGAAGCAGAACCGCTGGCCGCGATCACGACCAGAAAGCTGAAAGACTTCGTTTTCAAGAATATAGTGTGTC